AAGAAACTAACTTGCTACGGACTCTTCCGATTTCGAGATTGCCCACTATTCAATCTTACGAGTAATTTTCAAGATGACTCGCGGCTTTCCCGGCTCGAAGGCAGTCGTAAATAAAAAATGCAGTAGAAGTATTATTATTCCAAATAACTAAATCTTCTTTGCTATACGGAATTATAATTAAGAGATTCGTTAAAAATGACATTCCTCCGCCCCTTAGCCATTCCTGAACACCATAAACGAAGAACGACGTCCTAAGTTCGATGAAACCGTAACAGCATATTTCTTTTACGATTAATAAACCATCTAAACGCAATTTTACGCGCGACTTAAAAACGTGGCTCGCGTTAATGACACTGGAATGAAAATATGAGTTCGCGGGGGGTCTGAAAGCGAGAGCCAAGGCGTGTACCTAGTGGCACTGATTTAAGGGGAGAGTCCACGCATTAAAACTGTAACGATCCCGGCGGATTTTAAGCGAACGAAACGCGACGCTAGGGTGATCGTTAGGGTGGTGTCTCGGTCGCGTTAACGACGAAAATCTTTCCATCCCCTTTTTTGCTTCGACGCCGGCCAACCGGCTCCTTTTCCGATGGAACTTCTTACGGGCAACGCGCCCTATCCCCGACTAAAAGGATTCGACAATAAACAACGGTGAGTCTCGAAATTAGGCGCGCTCGGTTACACCCCCCTCGCCTTTCCTTCATCCCCCGTCTAGGACGATGCATTAACGATGTCGCGAAAGTTTGGAACAACAGAGAGAGGGTCCACCACCTTTTACGAACTGTCTTTTAATTTTCATGGCGCCTGGGTGTATTGAATTCCACTATAAATCTGTGGTTACTAAATGAGATTACCAAATTGAAAACGCTGATCGACGCGAGCATTGTTATTTGGTCTGCAACCTAATTCGATCTGTCTTCTTTAGTACACGAAACAATAATCAAGAATGCGTTCTAAATTTAATCAGATCTCGAAACTCAAAGTTACTCACATATGTATAGTTCGGGAATGCAAATGCTTGGTCAAACAATACATTCGTTTATATTTCTTTTATGACAATGCTCGACCATATGTTACGAAAACAGCTATCCCTTATCCTCTTCACTAAATGTATTCTTTCAAAATGGCCTCGATTAGTTTGCGTAACCACAAAAGAAGCGTGTCGACGTTTACGTAAAATAAGAGCTCAAAAGTTAAAGAGCAGTCGTTTCGTTTGCAACAATTTCTCATTTTTAAAATCGAACGCGGAAGGGTCGATTTCGTTGGGAATAATCGCGGTCGCGTAAAACGGGCCCAGTCTACCGTTCAACCGTGACCAGGTCGTTGTTGTTGCAGAGAACGGAGAGGAGTGCCGCGGTCCAGGAACAGAACGTAGCGTCCGTGAACGCGCAAGAAGCGCGCCTCACCGCGGGTAAGTGTATCTAATTACCCTTGCCGTTTACGTCAACGATTTCCAGTGATTTACGGCGAAATTGTACCGACGACCTTCGGTCCAGCGGGTCTACGGTTCCGGGAGGGCTGGCGGTGAGAGGGGAAGAGGAACGAATCAGCTAAGCGGTCCGTGGCTAAAAAACGCTAAAGGATTCGGTCATTTATCACGGCGCTGCTGCCCCCGGGGCACCACGGGAACGAAAAGGGGAGGAATATAATCCGCTGGACAGACTAATCGCGGACTAACTATCCACATATTATCTACAATAATTCCATGCTGCCGTGACGAGACGGGGTCCTAGCTTTCCGAACACCGTCGCGTATCGACACGAAACTCGTTCTTTTTCTCTTTGATCGACAGTCTTTTTTCAAATTTATTTATTTCAAATTGCATCGGCTTGCAGCAACGCAAATTGAAAGACAGAATTTTTAGAAGAATTTATTACACTGTATGGAAGCTCACCTTCTTCATAGGACGTTAACTTATTCCGTTAATTAACAACAGTTTTGTTGCTCTACCGTTTGCTATCAAGGAATACGAGTTGTAATCGAGGTTCGTTAAAACGACGGACTTACAAGTGTCCAGCGGTAATACAGAGTAAGCTCCCCAGTTATTAATTTAATCTCTAGTGGTGCAGTCGCTTTTAAATTTCATAATATGGGTTTTTAAATAAAAAACGTTAAACCGGGGAACGTCGGTTCCTTTATCTCATTAATGGGACACTTGTTAATATGGAAATTGATCTTTGCATTTTTGCGACTTACCCGGGGAATATTGTAAATTCAGATTTATTGCTGCGGAATTTGAAACCGGTTTTAGTTTACCATTTTTTATCCGACCCAGACCCCCGTATAATTTGTTAGAGATTGTTTGGAGTGTTTTCTGAGCGAGTGACAAGTTTTTTCCAGCCACGAAAGAAACTGGATTTTTCACAGACTCGGTAATAGCATTAATTGTTAATGGGAGAAGCGTAACGCCGAGGACACATTTTTGCCCCGCAAAAAAAGCAGTCTTACCTATGGTTGCTCTAAGATTAATAACAGAGTAACTTGGTAATTTATTCTTGGATGCCTTAGACCACCCTGCTGTGATCTTCTCAAAAAACAAGTGGTAGTAATTAGTTAAAAAAGTAATGCATAATCTCTTGCGGTAGGTAGGGCAATAATAACAGAGTGAAACATTTACTCTTCGACGTTTCGACTACGTAACTTAATTTTCTCGTAATTGGCTGGACATCGATTCACTTTTTCATAAATTATAATTTCTATAACTGAAATCTAGCAATGTTACAATTGCCAACGAGGTCGTTTGCCCGATTCAAAAATAAAGCCGACATTCGCCGCCTAAATAAAATATAGAACGATCGCGCGAACTGGGCCAGCGCAACAAAACGGGAGATATTGTTACTTCGGTTTTTGTTTAGTTTTTCCTTTTAATAAAGAAACCCCCGAATATTCCGCCTATCAATTCAGTCTGGGATCAATTTACAGAGCGCACGTTACGGTTTCGATCAGCGAAACTCCGTTCCCCGACTCCCGTCGGGTTATTTTTGCAGGCTGCGGTCCGCGTTACCTGCCCGCGCAAATATACAACCCGGTCCGTTGCAATTTTGAAGCCTGTCGCGCGTAAATAAAGCCAACTCGACCGTGGAAATTAATTAGCGTACCAAGGGTTAAGGCTTACGGAGAATTCCCCGTCGCCGTTTAATTGACAAATTTCATTAGTCGTAAGTTGGGACCCGAATAATTGACGACAGTTTATCGACCACGAATGCGATCGTTTCGTTATCGACCAACACATTTTTAAAACGACGGACGACAATCGAGCGACATATGGACGATCGTTGCAGATCTACGCGTTAGGGTACACATTGTAACGCCTTAAAATTACAGTGTTGCCGAACTCCATCCATCACAATCGGGCCCATGGGACCCACGGTCGCTGGAGCACCGCCCCAACGTTTAAGTCGTTAGCAATTTCCTGCACGGTACTATTTTCGGGCCCAAATTCCATATGGTCCGATAATACCCGATAATACGGCCACGATGGAGATCGGAGAAAGGATGTTCGTCTTGTCCCTAAGATCGGATTATCCGTTGCAACCCTCTCCTTTGTAGAAATTTCGCGTATCGATTCGCTGTTTCGCTCCGATTGGGGACGCGCCGTGCAGCTTCGATCACTGTAATTTCGATGGAATCCCCTTTGTTTAAGTAAATGCTTCTCTAGAAATTGTATAGAAGCTGCCCTCCGCGGACGCGTATCGGTTCTAATTTTCAATTACTCGCGACCAGTTCTCGGTAAACGCGATCGGAATTAAAATAGGGCCTAGCGAGACATCGAACAGAAATCCGATTGTTTATCGATGCGAGGCTTGCATCGAAGCAGAGGGATATCGTTTTAACACTATTCCTACTGACACTTCGCGTATACCTATTCCTACCGCGAGCGGTCAAATGACCGGTTTTCAGCACAACTTATATTTTTTAATATAGAATGAAGATAATAGCCAATTTTACAGTATAAAAATATTGTTTCTTTTATTCAGATAAAATAAGAGTAGAATAATGATAGAATAAAAATATAAAATAATAAACAACTTTCACGTTTTGATGCTCTCTGTTCGAATCACAAGATTTTACTGATTTGAACTCGTCTAGGCATCCCCTTCGGTTATGATTTTATTTATTTTACAGTTATAATAGATAAGATGGTGTAAGAAAATCCCAGGTTTTGGACCACTTTAGATAACAGTCTGGCAAATAAACACCGTAAGGCCGATAGGCGAGTGAGGGTTATAAACACTTGGAAGTGTCTAAAGCAGTCTCTGGAAGGCATTTTTCAGCTAAAATCATGCCACAATTGCATTATCTTTCGTTTGTAACGACTTTATAGTTTCAGAATTGAGTCTTCGAGATAATACCGTTACAAAAAGATATAAATCGTTCAACCAATAAAATGACCGGTCGTAGTAGGTAAGACAGACTACAAATTTTTCTCAAAAAATAAACAATAAAAAAAGAAGTGAATATTGGAAAAAGTATTATAGGTATATTTTAGGAAAAGTCGTGAAGTTTAAAGGTGATGCAATTACGTTGTATAATAGGAAATTTTAAACGAAATTTTAAAAACGGTCATTTGACCGGTCGTGGTAGGAATAGTGTTAAAATGGGATTTTAAAAATAGTACATTGAACGTAGGATCTATTTTTAATAAGCTATCAAACGTAATAGCTTTCTTTTTAAACGTTCAAACGATTTAATTTGATATCAACATACCGATACGTCGAATAAAACGGTCGAAAAGAATGGAAATAACTGCACCAGGTGGCAGTAGCACTCGGATCACCTGTGGACAACAAACTCCTATGATAACGCTTCTGAAACGATATTGAACACGTTGGAATATTAAATGAAAATCAAATTATTAGAAATAGAAAATAATTTTCGAGAACTTTTCTACTGCGTGAATTTCGGTATCCCTTGAATTTCTAAGGAAAGTTAAATAAGCAACATAAATAGAAAACGAAATCATTATAAGCGTTGCGATGGTAAATGTTACATTTTTTCAGTTAGAAAAATTGAGCCCGAAACGAAGGCTACCTTTACGCAAACGTCCGCTACCGACCCCCAGCCGAACGAGAAAATTTTGCGAATTAACGAGGAACCAGCCAGCGTGAACGTTTATTTAGGGCAAACGAAATCGTCGACATTTTGGAACATCGAAGAGGATCCTGCGCCTCAATGGCTGATCGAAGAAGCTCTTAATAGAGATATTGAGGTACGAGGATTTCCACCCAAAGGAAAAGTAATTTTGTATGTGAAACAAAACAGAAAAAGAAAATATTACGTTACATTGCCTGCGTATTATGGTTAACGTTTATTTTCCATTTTTCCTCTCCCACGTAACATCCACGTCGAATCGAATCGAATCAGCACAACGAGCGATGGACAAAGGGAGAACCATCGCCGAACAAGGAAACCGAGTGAGTTCGCAGGGAATAAAAGCTACGGTCGTGCGTTTTTAATAATTAAAAAAAGTCTGGTAATATTTTTATCCGTGGGAAATTCCCGAAAAAAATGCCGATACGATTGTTGCTGGATTAATGAAATTTCAACAGAGAACTGTGTACACTGTACGGCGAAGAGTATGTCCAATGATAAAATGGAATTTACAAAAATATCCGATAAAATTCCGGCACGTAATCGCATCATACTGCCCGGGGGAGAGTCTGGCATTTTTTATTTTTCGTTTCCGTGAATTTTCAAAATAATAACGACAGCTCACGCATCAATCGTAACAGAATATCGTTTAATAATAACGACAAATAATATTCCCATGTTTGGTACATCGGTCGAACACTGGTCGAGGAAGTCGTTTTATTTTAAACAAAATTCTCCGGCTGATCCGGCTGGTCATTCCAACTAAATCGATCTTGTAGATTATTTAGCATTTTATTTAAATAAAAATAGTCCTGCTTCCGAACTCAAAAATTCGATTGAAATAATGAAAAATGAGTATTGAAACAGTCGGTACAGTAAGTGAACGTTGAGGCCCCCTATACTACAACCGGGTGACTAAAAAGATCTCCAGCGACACACAGGATAAAACATAACTTCCATGGGGCATGTTGCCGATCATGTGTTGCGCGAACTACAGTACCGACTACTGACAAAATTACATAATAGAATTTAATCACAGACGAGGCATACGAGCACAGACGAGGTATATGAATAGACCTTTCACCTAATGTAATTTTTCGGCCGGAGTTTCTGGGGTCCCGGGACCCCATTACCATTTTCGTGTCACTCGCAACGTTATCAACAGATTCAGAAATTAACACAAGAGGAAGTGAGACAGAAAATAAAATTACATAAATTTTATTATTTTTGAACGGAATTAAAGCTGTAGGGTCCATCATTGAACATTAATCGATTAATTTCATTGGAATAACCAATCGATTGAGATTATTTAAAGATTTCAAAATTATTAAAATACGTAAGGATCTCATTGATAAATACACCGCAAATCCTCTATTTTTTATTTTCAATTCTAATATATTATTTATTTAAAAACTAACTCGGCAAACACGTATTTGCGACTCGAAATCAGTGTTATTAGACCGCACAGCAGGACGAACAAGGTATGTGGAACTATAAGAAGAACGCAGCCATTAGCTCATATTATTTGCTATGTAATTAATATAATTATTAATTACATAGTAAATAATATGACCCGGGTCTCACCACGTGGAGGTTGCTGCGACTGGAGACCCACCCTAGCCTCGCCCCAACCACCCTTCCTTTGGCAAGAAATTCGAATACCTATCTAAGGGAGAAGCTATCGAAAAGTTAGAAACGAGCTAGAGAAGGAGCGTTCTTAAAAGAACTGCCCAATCAATAGATGAAGAACCTAACAAAATGTCAATACATGTGAGATGATACACATGTTTTCTAAAAACGAAATTGAAATGTGTAACTGCACGCACGAACTCTGACCGATGAAGAGATGAAAAACCTAACAAAATGTTGATACATGTGAAATAATCCATCACATGTTTTCTAGAAACGAAATTGGAATGTGCAACTGCACGTATGAATCCTGATTACTAAATTATCAATATGTACTTTATTATTAATTGTTCCTTCTTAAATAAATACTTGCATTATAACAGTGCCTAACAAGACACTCGTTTAAAACGAAGAAAGGATCCTAAAGATCCAACCAGAAATGTGCAACTGCACGTATGGGCCTTGCATATTAGAATACTAATATGTATCTTAATATTAATCATTCCCACTTAAATTTACGCACACGTTTCGGTAATATTTAATAAACGGCAGGAGAACGCTTTTTTATCTTATAATCTATATACATTTGTACTTATATTCTAACGCAATCTGTAGAAACATGAAGAAATATGAGGAAATATTTTCGTCTTGGTGTCTTTGTCAATCACACGATGTTTTTCTAAAACATACACTCATATACAATAAATATAACCGACAGGAAACAAAGAAATATAACAAGATATTTTCTTGGTGTCTTCGTCACTCCCACGATGTTTTCCTGAAACAAAAACTCATATCCAATAAAATATATAACTCATATAAAACAAATAAATATGAAAAAATATTTCTTCTTGGTGTCTTGATTAATCCCACGATGTTTCCCTGAAACATAAATCAGACGATAAATAAAATTGTATGAAATATTTCTCTAAGAGCGATCAAGATGGAATCCGTGTACCATTTCCAATTCCATTCTTCGATGATTATATATTCTGTAACAAGAACTTGTTCAAAGGATTAAAAGCTGAAACGAAAGTGTATTAATGAACACAGAAAAAAATAATTATATACCGTCAAGATAGACTAATGGTAATCGATCATAGAAAAAGTGATATTATGAAATTAATATTTGAGCTTCCACGAGTAAAAATCGATATTAAAAAGTTTAAAAACATAAATATTACGTGAAATTGAATGAAAATTCGCCTCGGTGTTAAGATAAATACGAAATAGATTGAAAATTTTATTCATTCGTTACCCGTAGATTTTATTTTTCGTTTCCTTTATGAAATAAACAATTTTTCAAAACGTATACATTGCAATAATTATATTTTACTGTATTCAAAACTATATTAGGTTCATACAGAAAAAGCAATAGCTAACGAAAATGTCGATTCTACGCGGCAATTAACTCTCAATATGAAATATCGAATTGCAATTTGCATACCCTTTTGATGCAAGCATTCTATTTTCCATCGATTAAAACAATGATCGCGAACAAACTTTGATTTATGCAAAGAATACAGAATATTTATGAAAAATTCGCTATTTATAAATAACAATTGGATTGCAAACGTTATTATATCCCGTAAAAATGACCAACTCTAAGAATGAATAATTAGTGATATAGATATCTATATAGCAATCATAAATTTAATCTACAATAAAATTAATCATAATATAGAATTTTTAAATGCATCACAAATCTGTGATTAAAATACATTCCCATATATTACAGATTTTAACACGTTATGAAGAATAAAACAATTGGTCTATTCACAACAGTACTTTCAAGCAGTATTTCTTTTGAGAATAAACTCATAATTGGAATAAACGTCCACTCGTCTTAAATTCAAACAACCCGTGTGTGGATTCTTTCTTTCGCAACGCTAATTTATAAAATAAAAAACTATACGCGAATGGTGCTTGTTATTCGTAAAATGAACCACACAGGGTTCCTTTATTAATTAAATCGCGTGCACCCATATTCAATTATGCGCAACACTAATTTTAATAATGACGTTGAGCCATTCGAGGCTTTGCAGAATCCCAGCTTGCTTCTCGATGATCCTGGTGCAGTGGGCAGCGTTTTGGCCAGCTTTTTGGTCAGCTTTTGGGCATTGAATCGCAACTCTAATTAATAAAAAACGCGACAAGTCAAGATCGCAACGCTAATTTATAATATAAAAATTCCAAACGCGATTTATAACAATAAAAGCAACCGCGAATTATGATTATTCGCAACGCTACCCTGAAAAATAAACGCGAAAAATAGTAATTCGCAACGCTAAGAACAAACCGATCAGTACGTTCGCAACGCTATTCTTAAATAACGATAAAAGCAATCGCGTATGGAATTCGCCACGCTACCCTGAAAAGGAAACGCGAAAAATAGGAATTCGCAACTCTACAAGTAAAACGCGATTATTGTATATTCGCGACTCTATCTTTAATGGAAATACATTTATGTTTCGCAACGCTAATGCAAATCGCGTTGCCCAAAAACGCTGGATCAGGTGCTGGCGTCTTCGGTTGTAGCTAGAAACATACATGCACAAAATAATCTAACTACATCAAGCTACTTCAAACTACAATAGAGTGGCACATATGGGGATGAAGTTAGACGTTTTAAATATCGCAACACTACGGGGCAACAACGCGATAAATCAACAATCGCAACGCTAATTTATAATAGAAAAATTACAAACGCGATTTATAAGAATAAAAGCAACCGCGAATGGTAATTATTCGCAACACTACCCTGAAAAGCAAACGCGAAAAATAATAATTCGCAACTCTAATTCGCAATCGCGTTTACTGAAAATTCGCAACGCTATTTTTAAAGCAAACGCCCGGTTCCTAGGTTTGCGTAAAGACAATCGCGAATCGTATTTATTCGCAATACTGATATATCAACGCGATAAATATTTGTTCGCAACTCTACGAGCAAACGCGAACATTTTATATTATTCGCAACTCTAACTTTAATCAGGGGCTATTGGTACATGTACATAGACATGTACTGGCCACAAAATAAACTAACTACTACTAGTACTACAATCGGGGTAGAATTTGGGCATTGAAAATATCGCAACGCTAAATAAAAAATCGCACGATTAACCAAGATCGCAACGCTAATTTATAACATGAAAATTAGAAACGCGGTTGACATCCATTATAATATATGTATAAAAGAGTAAAAAAGCAACGCGAATCGTGATTGTTCGCAACACTACCCTGAAAAGTAAACGCGAAAAATAGTATTTCGCAACTCTACGAGCAATCACGTTTATCAATAATTCGCAACGCTATTTTTAAGCAAACATTCGGTACCTAAGTTTGCAAAAAACCAATCGCGTATCGTGTCAAGGCGCAACACTACCCAGAAAAGGAAACGCGAAAAACAGTGATTCGCAACTCTACAAGCAAACGCGATTATTGGATATTCGCAACTCTATGTATATCATAACCGCGAGTTATGGGGAGGGATGGCTGGCATGTATGGTGCAATCATGTACCTGATGGTACATGCATACGTGAGCCAGCCAGAAAAATAAACTAACTACAACTACAGACGAGTTAAGTGACAAAGTAGTAACAGGAATGACTTTCCATTCTCATCCGAGGATGAAGATGAAAAGCCATTTGTTGCAGCCCACTCTTGAGACAGTTTGTCAGGGCCTCTTCGGCTCAT